TGAGCGTAAAGTCGAGCTACAATTAGTTATTTTGGAATATCCAAAGAATTTACTTAGAGTTCAGTTCGGTAAAAAATTATGATGTAATWAATTGATAACATATTAACTTAATTCTGTCTTGACTTATTACAAACAAAGGCTATATTGTGAAAATGAAACACCATTGTCACAGGAAGCCCACGTAAGCGATCTATGATCATCTAGTTTTTTGAAATAAATGTAGTGTGGGTGTATCTAGCTAATCAGTTGTGTGTATTTTTTTTTTTTTTTTCGCCGGCCAGGAAGGAAGGAAGACATAACATTTCATTAGTTGGAAATTTGCGTTTCTACGGTTTTTCACAAACATCAAAGATTTTAAAATCATCTCACATTTTGAAACGAAATATGACCGTCGATGAGTAACCGACGGCAAAAAAAACAAGTTTTTGTAAACAAAAGTCAAGCAGAACACTTCCGCAAATAACGTCGACTTTTGAGACTCTTTTTTAAGACTTTTTTAAGACTGACTTTTAAGCCTTTTGTAAAAGACTCTTCATGTGCTGTAAATTATAAATCRCACCAAAGTTTGACTCAGTGATGAATAAAAAGTACTTACTGTATATATAGCACTTGTTTAAATGCACGATAACTTACCTGGATTGTTCAAGTACAATAATTCAGTTGGTATAGGAGACCAACTAAGATCACCAGGAGGCTTTATTGCAATGTTTGCAAATGTTACTTCAGAGTCTAACTGAGTTGATAATCTAGCGTAAACCTCCAGATGGTACAGATGACAAGTAGTAATCATTTTTATGTTTTGCTTAGTACTCCTGAAAAAAAAGTATACCAAGAATTGGAAAAAGCTTGCCAGGTTCAGGTAGGTTAAATCATAGAGATTTACTGCGGATATAGACATTGAAAAGTTTGAGAAATATATTGTGCGAATGGCAACATTTCAAATTCTAAATATACTATCGATGTGATTCCATATAATCAGGTCACATGGTACTAGTCTAGTACTACGGACATGTCTTGCGCAATTAAAAACAACTAGACGCATAACTGCGTAAACTCGGGGTTCTTGTTAATAAAATAGTAGTGAATTTGGTAAGGCTCGTTTACACTTGCGTGTTTGCCATATATTTACTATATAATTCGCTTTTGATAAGATAGGTAGCTAGTTTGATAGACAATTCATGATATGCAGTAAAATATATATCACAATTTTAATAACTTAAAAGTCATTTAGAGA